GCCAGAAGAACAAATAAATCTGTTCCAGAAGAAGTGCAAGTGGAATGCTCCTTGGAAGCAAGAATAGCCACACTTCGCCTCACCTACTTTGGTCACGTTGTCAGAAGAGACCATTCCCTGGAGACGGGATCATGCTCAGTGAAGGGGAGGGTCAGCAAAAAGGGGAAGACTCAAAAAGATGGATTGACACAGTGGCTGCAACGGCAGGCTCAAGTATAACAAGGATTGTGAGGGTGGCGCATAACTGGGCAGTGGTTTGTCCTGTTGTGCACAGGGTTGCTATGAGTTGGGGCTGACTCAGAAGTACCTAACAACAACAAGCCACAGAATGAGCAAATGTGTCTTGGAAGAAGTACAGTTAGAATGTTCCTTAGAAGCAAGGATGGCCTGACTTCATCTCTCATACTTTGGTCATGTTGTAAGAAGGAACCAGTCCCTGGAGAAGGGCATAATGCTTGGTAAAGGAGAAGGTCAGTGAACAAGGGGAAGACCCTCAATGAGATGGGCTGACACAGTGGTTGCGTGAGTGGGCTCAAACACGGCAACGACTGTGAGGATGGTGCCAGTCCAGGCTGTGTGTCCTTCTGCTGTACGTCGGAGCCGACTGGATGACACCCAACAACACAACAGCCCTATCTCCACACCTCCCCAACTAGAAGAGCTTACAGCTGGTCAGAAGGGCTTTGAGGACATGTGTGCACGAGCAGTCGCTGGCGCTCTGTGTGCTGGCCAGTGTTCTTCACCAGAACCCTTGGCAGTAGGTGTCCGGGAATGAGGCCATTAGAGCAGAAGCTTCTCCTAGCCTGCCCGTCGAGATGCTGGAGTGGAGACCCCACAGGCCCTCTGGAAAGGCCTGCTCAGCGTCTTCTCACCCTCAGTCTGGGCCAGGCTCCTTTCATCTCCAGGACACGTGCATGTTCGGGCCTACACATGCATCTTCTATGCCTGGAGCAATTCTGCCTCATCCCACACCCATCTTCTCCAAGTTAACTACTGTTTATTCTTCAGCCTTCCCTTCCCCAAGGAAGCCTGCCTGACTGCTCCCTCTCTGTGCTCAGAAAAGACCCTCCTATTATACACTCTTGTAGCACAAAGCACTCTCCCTTATAACACCTACCAGAGGGTGTTTATATTTGTTATTTAAAAAAAAAAAAAAAATCTGTCTCCTCCAGCAGACTGTAAGCTCTATGAGGACAGGGTGGTGAATTTGTGCATGCATGCATACACACGCATACATGCATACACACATACACACTTACATACAAATATGTGCATGCATGCACTGCACACATACGCCCATGTATACACACATACATGTACAGATACATGCACGCACACACATAGGCATGTGCTCATACCACCCTACTCATTCTATCCCCAGTGATAACATGGTGCCTGGTACAGAGCAAACACTCAGTAAGTACTTATTGGATGACTCAAGAGCACTCAATAAATACTTGCTGAAAGAGGGAATAAACCATCATTCTACCTAACCATCTGCTTATGTTACTCAAAACCCATCATCAGCCTAGCCACAAAAGTTGTGGAAAGAACATTGGACTGAGGGGATCAGGAGACTGGAATTTAAATGCGACTGCAAGTTGCTACATGGCCTCTTGTAGCATTTTGATAGTGTGGCTGTATTATAAAAGCATCATCCTACACACACACACACACACACACACACAAACACACACACTCACACCAGACGTCAACTCCATTTTCTCTAACTTTACTGTTTTTGTTTTCTTTAATCAAGTTTTCACCACTATTAGGGAGGAATAAGTATAAATGCTTCTTCAGTTTCTTGTTTTGTGACTTGGTTTTGATTTGTCACATCCCAAGACTTGTAGCAGTGTCTGGAAGGTCAGTTGGCGTGAGCCCACACGGCACACGAAGCACCCTGAGGAAACTCCCCCCAGGCCAGAAGCACAGCTGCTCAGCACGAACGTGGGTCCCCATCTTCTCCACGGCCCTCTGGCTGAGTGGAAAATGAGAGCCCCAAGGCCCTGGGGCTCATTACTGGCAAATGAGGGCCTTGGTCTGACAGTGGAGTGTGAAGCCAGCGCACTGGCTGGTGAGTCAAATGGTAAATGGTCCGTTCTGAAAGCTCACTGGGAGCTTGACATTGGCCATGGTGGAAGTATTTATACCACAGAAATTGGCAAACACTACAAATGAGGGCTTTTTATTACTTGGTGGGGGGAGTGGATAAAGGAGGTCTGATGACAGTGGTTAGGAGCTTGGCTGCCAACTGAAAGGTCAGCAGTTTGAACCAACCAGCTGCACCACAGGATACAGATGTAGCAATCTGCTTCTGTAAAGATTACAGCCTTGAAAGTCCTCTGGGGCAGTTCTACTCTGTCTTACAGGATTGCTATGAGTCAGAATCAATCGGACAGCAATGAGTTTGGTTTTGGTTTTTTAGCAAACACATAAGGCACTCCGCTGGCACAGTGGCTAGCCACTTGCTTGATGTCCAAAATGGCAGTTTGAACCCACTAGCCAACCTGTGGGAGACAGATGTGGCAGTTCTCTTTTACACAGATTATAGCCTTGGACACACTACGGGGCAGTTCTACCCTGTCTTATTGGGTCGTTATGAGTCAGAATCAACTTGATGGCAATGAGGTTTTAGGGCAGAGAAAGTCAGTTTAGCCGCACACCACTGGCCGACCCTCATGTATTTGATGCTTTGCCCATGTTCAGCCTCCAAGGAAGGTTTCCTGGTGATCATTACCATCGACACCAGGCAGTGTAAGAGAAGAAACAAACACTCACTCTCTTTGTATCTCTGGGAACAAGCTTTGCACATTTCATACTCAGGACTATAAATGCTAGCTCTCTGAAAGGCGCTCTGGCCAGCCAGGCATTGCCCAGTGTAAGAAGACATGCTTGTAACCTTTGTTAAGGTATACGATGCATCTTTCTTAAATGGCATGAAAATCTACATCATGGAGTCAGAGTATCAGTTAATTGGAATGTTGAGCAATTATTATTCCATTAATGACATACAGGAAAGCGATGTTGTCTCATGCCACTACCTGCATGACTAAAAATGAATCAATTCCCTCTTAACACATTGAACAACCTTTCGTTCCCCAATGGTAGTGTTTAGTCTCTAGAAATTGCAGAATAAGATGTACAAGCGAAATTACCTAATCATTACAATACAGATAGTAATTTTCTCCTAAGAAAAATACTTGACTTGTATTAGGCATTCTTTGCTACTCTATGAGAACTAAACAGAACTCAAAAGCAAGCAGAAATACATTTTGAGCAATCCTCTCATTTCCAACTGAAGGTCAGTCTGTGGCCACACATACAAAGTCTCATTTTTGGGTCAAGAGATTGACACCTCATACCTCGTGTTTGGCTTCAGATTCTCAATGGGCAAATGAGTCACTGACGAAGCTTGAGTGGACCATTTGTTTCTGATGAAGTCTTCATAGGATGCGCTGTAGACCAAGTAACCTGCAAACAGAAATGAGGAAGAACCCAATAGGCATCAAGGCAGCAAGTCCCCCAAGAGGCATAATCCAAGGGGGAAGGATGGGGATGAGGCAGCACAGGAGACACAGCTCTGTGGGGGAGGCTCAGGAAGAGGACCTACAACCAAGCCTTCAGAAATTCCAGCATTTCATGGTGAGGTCAACGAGGGTGAGCCTGCAATGCAGGTTGAAAGACTGCAAGAACTGGATCAGGCACGTTACGGAGGAGAACATCAAGAAGATCAAACACACCTAAGTAAGCTATTTAGTAGCATGTCATCATTGTCACCTCACCAAGAGCTATTTTGGTGACACAAAAGAATGAACGCTAGATTAGGGTTATGCAATCAATGGGCAAGCAGGGAACAGAAGTCAGGCGGATGTGACTCTGAACACTTTTCACACAGCTCTTCTGAGGAGACACAGTCTTTTTATTTTTCAATGATATTCAGTGAGAACCTGTGAAGTGCGGTGCTGTCTCCAATGGGTCCCCTCCTACCTTTGATGCCAATGAAGTCTCATCCATGCATGCTGGGTCATGAGGTTGCATATAACAATGACACACACACAGCACTGTCTCCAGACCCGTAAGTGTGTCATATAAATCCTAGCTTCAAGAGGGGTTGGCACAACTCATACCCTTTGACCTCTAGGTCCATCAGCTCTGATGGGGATGCACAGGTTTTTCTGCTTATCCTTGTATCTGGCTTTTGAGGGCTCCAAGCACTTGACAATATACTTGCTTAGCACAGAGTAGCTCCTTGACTTCTCTGTTCTTATCAAAATGAAAAGCAACCACCCGCAGGCAGGTGTATCCAGGAGTATCACACTGCTTGGATTCTACCTTGTTGTACATTGACTTGACCAAAAGGACAACAAATAAAATTAGCTCAGCACTCGACAGCTCCCACTGCTACCAGAATTTAAATGCCCTGCTAGCGGAGCCCTGTAAAGACATCTTCTATTTAGGTTGACAATGTATATCTTGGTTCTCTAGTGCTGCTATAACAGTACCACAAGTGGATGGCTTTGAGAAACAGGAAGTTATTCTCTTACAGTTTAGGAGGCTAGAGGCCCAAATTCAGAGTGGCGGCTCTAGGGGCTGGATGAAGGCCCTTCAACTCTGGGCTCCAGCTCTGCCTCTTGTTCCAGGCCCACTGGAGCTGGAGGCTGCTTCTGACTCGTGCAGCTACTGGCTGCTGAGACTGATAATCCAAGGTCGACAGGGAAAATGGCACAATCCCAAGATCAGCAGGCAACATGGCAGGCCACTGGTTGAAGTCCAGGAATAACCCCAAGATCGGCAGGCAACACGGCCCAAAATGTGCCAAAAATCTAGAGACCTTTCCCAATGCTTCTCCATGTATACTTGAAGCAGGCCACACCATGGAAGTAACTCCTCTGCAACTACTTAGCTGCTCACAGCAGAGTCCACCATGGAGGTGATTACAACCTCATCATGGGGAATAACTAAATCTAGCTACCTAGGCACTCAAAACCACAGCCCAGCCAAACTGACACACAACCTTAACTACCACAATGCACTACTCATTTGTTAGTAGAGGTTTGCTATGATGCTGAACAGGTTTCAGTGGAGCTTACAGACTAAGACAGACTAGGAAGAAAGGCCTGGTGATATCCTTCCAAAAATCAGTCAGTGAGAACTGTGTGGATCACAACCATCCAATCCCATTGGGCATGGAGCCACCATGAGAAGGAGGTGAACTGGATGGCAGCTAACCACACATAGTTCAGCAGGTAAAGAGCCAGTGCTTGGTTCACTCACTGAAGAAGGGCTCCACTATCTTCTCCTTTCACTTTTTGGGGTCTGCTGTGCTTCCTCCACACTGCAGCTATCACACACTGGAATGTCCCACAGTTATCAGCTCGACATAACTTTGGATGGGAGTGCCCCAAATCCCTATAAATACTCATCTACGATATTTATGCGAGTGGAGTGAGCAATCATGCTTGGTGTGCTAGCTTTGGTTTCAGGTTAGGTGTAAGATATGTGATGGACATGATGACACTGAGGTCTCTCGGAGTGCTGGAGGCCTTGGAATGCCAACCTGACTGCAAAGTTAACAGAAGCACCGAGGTTCCAGAGGGGCGACCTCTACAGGAGGATACAGGGATTGCTCTGAATTAAGCTCCAGAGACACTGACCGGGGTAATTGTGTTCTCTGAAGGCTCCATCCTCATTGCACAGCACTTGAAGCTCATTACTGCAGCCATGACTCTCTCCTTAGCCAGTGTTTGGGGACAGTCCCAGGAGTCCCAGCACAGTGGCATACTTATGTTAAGCCATGTCTATTACGCAGCAGATCAAGAGCATAACAGCTTAAAATAAGGTTGTGCAAACTCCATGAGAGAAGGTCCTCTCTGGATGTTCTTAGAATTGTTTCTCATTTTAAGAGGTCATATTGGGGACATAAAATAAAAGCACTAGAAAATCTGAATTATATTAATTGCACTACCATAACAGCGACAGATATCAAACTCAGACCTAATACACCACTACCACCCTCAGTCCCAAGACACACACAATCGTATACAAATCCTTTCCTCCTACAGTAGACAGGAAGGGACTATTCCAAGAAAATATTGATTATCTTCCAATAAGATTGTATTTCAACATATTCATCCTCAAATATAGGAGTCCCTGGTTCTTGAAAATGTCTAGGTATCTGACTACTGGCCAAAAAGTTGGTAGTTCATGTGTTGTCAGGAAAGGCAAACATATCTATACAGATGGATAGATGGGTGGACGGGCAGAACTATTAGGTACATCTATGCAGGGAGCTCTGGTGGCATAGTGCCTAAGGCACTTGACTGCTAACCAGAAGGTTGGCAGTTCAAACCCACCAGCCACTTCTCAGAAGGAAGGTTGGGCAATCTATTTCCATAGTGATACTGCCTCAGAAACCCAAGGGGGGGTCACTATGAGATGGCACATAACATGCAGGGGGAAGTGTGCCCAAGACCATGTATAGGGTTGGCAGACAATGTTTCTATAAGTGTATTGATACGTTCTATAAGAATTCCCAGGTATATAGTAGAACTGACAAGAGACAAGGTTGTAGTCATTCCTTGGCCACAGCCAGCTACCCAGAGGAAGCAAGTAGTTGGACCTATGGGCTCGGGACCATAGTCGCAGGGGACATCAAACTCAATTGGCATAACATACTACACAAAACATAGTTCCACATCCTGCTTTGGTGAGCAGTGACTGGAATCTTAAAAGCTTGCAAGCAGCCATCTAGATGCAACAATGGGTCTCTCCTCATCCAGAACAAAGAAGAATGAAGAAAAACCAAAGATTCATGGAAACAATTAGTCCAAGTGACTGGTACACCATGTGATCTTCAGCCTATACAAGTATGAGACCAGAAGAACTAGATGGTGCCTGGCTACCACTGTCAGCCACTCAAAGACGGATCTATGGAGGAGATCCTGGATGGAGGGAGAACAATGTGGAACAAAACTCAAAATCATT